GGGGAGGAAGGATGTGGTTTGGGGGTAGCTGTTACCCCATCCATATGAGCCCTGAGAAGTGCAGAGATGGTCAGGGTGATGTGGGTGTGAAAGCTCACTGCTGCTGGTGAAAGTACTCGGGTGGGCCTCAAGCATGCAAATTTTCCTTGTTATGCAGCTGCCTAGCTTCCTCGCAGTACATACTTTTCCATTGCCACCTTCCTATTCCCACTTCATCTCTGACATGTACTTATTAACAGTAAAATTGTAAATGGGCTGATTTTCAATGTCATGCTCATACTGTGCCGGAACAACATAGGGGGAACAGCTGCTTTTTTCCCCCCTCATCCTTACTAACGTAATTTTCCCTCTACTTCTTTTGTATGTTTATCACTCTCTTACATGAACTACTATTTCTGGGGTGCCTTGATAGTCGAAGCAGACTTTGTGCTATTGAGGCTAGAGAGGTGAGCAGAGTGAGCCTCATTCCCCGTTTGGATTTCTCTGTTGATATATATACCCCTTGGCGCTCATATGACCTTATGCAGTTGCGAGCACCGTAAAACCTTACTAGAACAAACAAAGACAACAACTTTTCACCTCGACAGTGGGTCAAACGATGGCCTTTTATCGACAATTTGGACTGTATTCCAATTTGCTTTTTATCCAGTTTGTTCAAATGGCATTTGTAGCTGAATCCTGTTTTCTTTTTCTTTTTTTCCTCCAGAACCTGCAGAAAAGGAGAGCCTGGAAGACCTGTTGACCAAGCTTGGCCAGCAAATCAACTCCTCTGACTGGCTTCAGCAGAACACACCGGAAAAGTTTGCCACTGAAAATCCTGAAGTTGCCAAAGCCTTCAAACGTGTGGCTCCCGAAAAAGAGGTGGAGGACTCAAAGCCTCAAGACAACAGCTGATAAACCTCTATCTGTTGTTAGTTTTTGCTTTGGCTGTTTTTTGTTTTTTTAAAACTTGTTTGGCTAATAGCAGTGTATGCATTGACCCTCCTGGCTGGGAAATGGTTTGCTTTGTAATTATTTTGTAAGAGGAATTTGATTCTTGTTATGCTTAAAGTGAACATGGAATATTTGGTCTTTCTGCTGGGATGTTGTATCCCTCTCAGCCCGGGTCTGTCTGCTGGGATGTTGTATCCCTCTCAGCCTGGTTAATCCCTGACAGTTGACATGCAGGGTCAAAAGCTCACCTTCTAAATCTAAATGATCTAAATCATGTTGATGTTTTTTAAGATCTTCAGTTTAGCAGCTTGAGCTAGTTTATAAATTTCAAGGCTGACACCTGTTTTTGTCAGTAATTTTGTACTGGCACCTGTTCTTTAAAGTTGATACTTTTTACTGCAAAGGTCATGAAGACTAATGTGAAATAAAAAAAACTTCATTCATTTCTGAGAACAAACGATACTGGTTTCATGATTAGATCGTGTAAAACACAAGAATTACAAATGCTACCAAAAGAAACTTGGACTGTGATCCAGTCTTACAGACACTGGGGACTCACCAACGCTCTGTTCTACTGCCACTGTAAGTTGTAAGGGTTAAAAACAAGAATGTGTTGTGGTGTTCTGATCATGGTTGTTGATGAATGACTTTTGTGAGTGATGCGGCATATTTGTGTGCAGTGCTTGCTTTTTGGGTGAGGTGTGATGTTAGTGTTCTTGAGTTAGAAAGCGGAAGGCGGTACAGACAGAAGATGAGAGAGAGAGATTTTGAGG